AGAGAGAGAGAGAGAGAGAGAGAGAGAGAGAGAGAGAGAGAGAGAGAGGCCAAAGTACACGTTCAGAGAATAAAAAATAAAATTAGGAAAAATAAAGGATTTCTAGCGCGATTAGCATTCAGGTAACATTTACCACTTACTTTATAAATTTATTTACTCCACGCGTTTTCATCGATGCAACAATAGAATGCTTTAATTAGCTTCTTCACTCTTCACAGATTGAAGTGTGTACACATTGTGCAGCAATCACGGAATGATACGAAGAGATGGACAAAGCGGCAGTTACTTCGCGTGTAACGAAACTCTAAACAATCGTACGTGGTCCGGTGAATTCGTTTACAGAGATGAACCGATGAACCGAGTCAGCGTGAATTCCAGCTCGGAGAACAAATTCAACCACGGGTCTGTTCCACTGATACAAAGTTCCTGTTCTTCCTTCGTCCTAATCCCCTCCATTTCGTTCCCAAGGCTTCTTATAACGGGTGTGATCGAAGAATCATCTTGTGCCTTGCATGAAAACGTTAGTTTCGGAAATTCATTCACGCAGTTCGAAATGCAATTTGAGGTCAGTCTGTAAATGCATAATGTGAACGTGGTGATGCAAGATTTCTGTAAGTATATTATATGGAGCTTCAACTTCCTGTTTGCCATTGACTCTTCCATCTCGATGTACGACACCTGACAAGCTCTATGTATTCATTTACCTATCGAAATGATTCATCTTGAAAGTGAATCATGCACTCGATCGATAAGTTCACTCTATTTCGTTTTCTTTTTTTTTTTCCTTTTCTTAATATACGCATACATACTTTATACTTACAATATAGTTTATACTGTATATACACACACTATATACATTTTGTTCACTTTTCTCTGTTGCTGCCAGGAAAAAGTAACTCGTAGCAGGGGCATTGGAGCCGAAAGTAGCTCTGTTGTCGCAGAGGGCTAATGGAATCACCATTACGATAAAATCTTGGCGAGCACAGATTGATACGGAAGATTTCTCTGCCGCAGTCGAGGTTTTATTTCTCAAGCTTACGCGAGAAGATCGTAGGATTTCTCGCAACCCTCCGACATACTGTAATTTTCATGAATCCTCTGTATTCTGTTCGCTCAAGTTACGATTCACGCTGCGTGCTCGAGAAGGGTTGAGAACGCACTAGCGTGTGGTTTAGATTTATTAAAGGTTTATCGAGGCAGAGGATACCACGCAGCGTGTAAATTACTGGAATTGAATTTATTGCAGTTTTGGATGTGCCGAGATAACTCGCGGAAGTTGTTCAAGTACCACGACTTGTAGACGCTATTTTATTCATGGATATATTATGAAACATTTTCATTCGCACTTAACAAGATCCAACTGTGTCGCTAAAAAATTCTCGGTGATATATATAAGTGCTTCAAGTACTTTCACGAACGACTGTGATTTTGTGTTGTTAATGTATAAATTAATATAACTATACTAGAATACACTATTACACTATTTCAACTTTCCTTTAGATTTCAAATTCTTTCGCTTTTACTGGAGTTTTATGATTGCACACCCTACGTATGCGTGATATTCAGAGGCTGAAAATTCTTCCATTCTTAGACGACTTTTCAAAGAAGCTGCTCAATGAAGGCTGAGATCTCGTGGAATTTGGGAGAGACGGAATAGAGTCCAGTTCATTATTTGTTATTCTTAATAAATTAATTTATAATCGCGAAAACGAAATAGATCTTTCTTTCCAATTTTTTCAGCGATATCGTCGAAAGTTAAACGAATGAAAAATTCTCATGCTCTCGATCTAGTGGTAGCCTAAATATATACACCGATCTAATGCACGTGTATAGATACAAAGAAGTTCGAGGGTCAGACATTTTCGAGATAAAGGACCGGCCACCTGGCACTTCTCCGCCATGAATGAGAGAAAACGAGTCGGAGGGAGAGACTGCGTGCATCGAATGCGGGCACAGGAAATCGGCGCTTATTCTCGGCCTCGATGCTATCTTGAGGCTTCGGCCAGCCTTTTTGTTCGAGGCTGGTGCATAGCTCGATCAGAAAGCGTGCGTCAGCTATGCTCACAGCTGACCTTGAACGCGGTACCAGTTGCAGCACGTGGATGTGATACAGGTTCAATCCGTCTCCTGTTCTCGGGTTTTCTTTCACTTTGAACTCCCAATAGCCTTAAATAGAGATTACACGTGCTATTTTTAATAATTGGCCAAGGCTCGATACCTTTGAAAGAACAAAGCGCGATAAAGGCTTGACAGTGACGAGCAATTCCCTATAGTCAAGATGAATTTATCAAGGCAACTTATTATTATGGATTGATTATCACAGGCAGGTAACTTAATTGGCTGGCACGGATTTTAAGAATCTGGTGTACAAAGAGAACTTCAATATTCAATTATTCTGTAACTTTGTAATCCTGCTGCATTATTTGAATCTTCATATTCTCTGTCTGTTCTTGTTTCAATCTTTGGACGGTGAAAGAAGTTAGATAAACTTTGACCTACGCACATTTTCATTTCTCATTATTATTAAATTATACTGTAAGACGCTTTGTTGTAACACTGTAGAAGCTTTGTTGTAAGACGAAAATTATGAAAGTTATGAAATTAGTTATCTTGTATATGTGTGTCGAAGCACAAGCAGCTTGAGTACGCGAAGAATTCCTCTGTTTTGTTCAATGCTCTTCACGTTATTGCTATAGCCCAATCGAGAGTTGAAACACACGAATAACCCACATTTTTTTATCCCGAGTTAGGTCATTTCTGTCGTCAGCCAAACTACTCGTGAATTTCTTTTTCTTGAATCGAATATCAGAGATAGCAGATGGTGGCTACATACAGATCTTCCGACATCGATTTCCTGTCCAAGCTTAGTTGGTTTCCTGTCCATTAGTCAGCAGGATGGAAGTTTGTGACACGGTGGTTGTAGACGTTGCAAATGTTTCCTTCTTATTATGATAAATGTCTGGTAAACGTATGAATTTTTACATGAAGATATATAAAATGTGTATAACACATAACATAAAATTTATAAGAAAAATTAACTTATACAGTGCTTCTAAAAAGAAGAGATAATCATTAAAATAAGATCCATTCGTTAAATCGGAGTTGGTTCTTTTACAATTTAAATAGCCAGTTTCTAAGTCATAATTCATAATAAATATGTAGAACAACGTTTTTTGCTTAAATTTAGTCATCAAATCTAGGAAGAGAAAGAGGTTGTTTCCTGTCCATTAGTCAGCAGGATGAAAGTTTGTGACACGGTGGTTGTAGACGTTGCAAATGTTTCCTTCTTATTATGATAAATCTCTGGTAAACGTATGAATTTTTATATGAAGATGTATAAAATGTGTGCAACACATAACATAAAATGTATAAGAAAAATTAACTTATACAATGCTTCTAAAAAGAAGAGATAATCACTAAAATAAGATCCATTTGTTAAATCGGAGTTGGTTCTTTTACAATTTAAATAGCCAGTTTCTAAGTCATAATTCATAATAAATATGTAGGAGAACAACGTTCTTTGCTTAATTTTATTCATCAAATCTAGGAAGAGAAAGAGGATTGTTAAAATTCAAAGAAAGCAAAAGCGAAATCACATATTTGTCTTTTTTTTTTTCAATAAACATTTTGTAAAGAAACAATCGTGTCAAGCGATAATATTTGGTATAATGTTTCAGCGAGACTGGACGAGAATAATCGGATGAAGCTGGGCCAAGCATGCCCTCTAAGAAGCAATACAATCTCGTGCATAATGACGAGTACGACACGAGGATACCGTTGCACAGCGAAGAGGCGTTTCATCGTGGAATTGTTTTTCACGCCAAGGTAATCGAACGTTAAACGCTTTCTGATTTTCGTAGCCAATTTACTCTCCAAACGAGAGTTCACGATGACTCGTTCCATCATGGACTGCATCCTGAAGCAAACGTGATGCTAAAGAAATAAATATATTGTATGTGTAACATTCGATTGATACGAGCTTAGTTAAAAGCAAATACAATGTATTGAAGTAAATTTTAAACATGTAGTAATGTTTACTATAAATCTTTGAATTAGGCCATCCAAAGATTATAGAATTTTAATTTAAAAAATCTTAATTTTGAAAACGTGAATCTGTCATTGTAAAATCTTAAGATCTCGACTTTGAGGTTCTCCATAGGACATTCCATGATACTGTTGTGCCACCAGTTGAGCCTCATCATTTTGTAGTTATCTGCCTCAGGTCATTTGACCCTAGGAAGATTTGTTTCTGGTGAAGTAGAGTCTCAGAGTTAGCTGTGCTGTTCACCTTCTTTCAGGTATAAATTCTTGACATAACGTTTACGATATATCAAGTTCTTGAAATCGTTTAGACATATTAAAATTGATATCTTCTTCCTGCTTTTTCTTTCAGATATTGAACTGTTAAAAACTTCATGAGAATTATAATCTTGAAAAGATTACATTGTGTCTCATAGTTCGATTTAATTCCCACTGGAGGGACACGAATCGTTATACACAATCCTGAAAATTCATCGTACACATCATTGCCAGTAGTGAATGTTTTAATTTAAGATTCTCGGGGAAACTGCTGTACACGTAATCTTAAAGAACACTCGCTACCGGATTTTGCACGCTTTAAACGCTTTGCGTCGAGTATTTCCGTAGCGTGTAATTTTCCTTTTTCAATTTACCATCTCCAAGATTGAAATTCTTCGATGACTCGCGACACGTGCAATTACTGTACTAAATAAGGGATATAATCGAGAATGTATCTCACCTCGAACTTCTATTACTCACACTTTAAAAGCATGCGCGTTCTTTATGGGGACAGAAAAAGTGACTTCTGTGAGAAACTCGCAACAAAGGTAGCAACCAACTTTGAAGTGTCGATAAAGCGTAATTTCCAGGGGAAATTCTAGATCGTTACTGTCGTAATATCCAGCACGGGACAGTTATTTCGCGGAAAGAGAAAATGACAAATTTTTTTTTTTTTTTAGTGTGCATAAAGACGAGAAAAAAATCTGCAATTTATCTAGATCGCAAGTATTTTGATCTTCCATTTAAATTAAAATTATTAACGATGATAATATATACGGATTATATTTTTACAGTAACATTCGTTTGCATATAATGTCGAGAAAATCTCGTGGAACATTTGGAAGAATAACTGTGCGTATTATATGAAATGAAAATCGAGTGAACTATGGATTAATCGATTCTGTTAGATACGATGTCTGAATCTTTTTGAACGTATTTATTTTTTCTAGATTCATGACCTCTTCTGCTGTAGATATATACCACGCGAGTGATTGAAGTTTTGTTCTCCGGGGCTTTCCAATTGTACCGCGAAGCAATTCCAGGCTCTCCCGAAATACTTGACGAGTGACGCTGTAATTTACTGTACTTACAATTCGAATAGCTGCATAAAACCGCAAGTGTTTTTTTTTTTTTAGTTTCCGAGAAACTAAAAAGTGTATCATTCTGTGCACGGAAGCGGTTTGATCTGTTTGTTTGAGAGAGTGATTTACAATAACGGGATCTCTGAAGCAATTATTGTAACCAATATGTTGCAATTTTTCACGTCATACGCATTCCAAATTTTATACTAATAGATACTCTGCTTAACGTTGTTGATGTAAAACAATTCAGCAACTCTGTTCCACACGATTTGCAATTTCAATGTATTACGAGGAAAATGATATGAAATACAAGTAATCTATAATCGTGCGTCAAAAAAAGTACAAAATTGAGCGTTATAATCATCGTATCTTTTGTAAGCAACAGCATTAAAACTCATTCACTTTTTCGACGAGGCGCACGATTTGCATGTAAGTGATTGTGCTAACTGGCCGTAGGGAAAAGCAAAGGAAGCTATAGATGGTTATTTGATGGCTTACGCGACAATAGTGTAGAGCGGGTATTTTTGGTCGCGGCGTACGAAGCAGAAAGGAGCAGGATTGTGTGACGTCATTGTGCACGTGTTTATCCCCAGTGGTGCATGTGTTCGTTTCTCAGAAAGGTTGAAACTTTCGCGCTCGTAAGCTCGTAAAGCGGTCACTTCACGAAAGAACGCCGCACCCCGGCTATTCACGGCGTTCCTCCGCCGTTCTTCTCTCGTTAACGTTCGACTTTCCACGCCGCGTTCTAACGATGTTTCAAGTCCATTAACCTTCTGCAAACGCCACGTGACTTTTCCAGTCACGTATTCATACACGATACACTTTTTAAGCTCCATTTCGTTTGTTGCATGATACATATTATTATGTATTTTATTCTATTTTATTAGTATGTATTTTATTGTATTTTATTATTATGTATTTTATTGTATTTTATTGTATTTTATTATAGTTCATCATATATTTTATTATCTTACAATATTATTTTGTTGCGAAGCAATTTATTTGCATGAACTGTGAATTATTTGTTTTCAATTGCAGTGAAAAAAATAATTCTCTAAAGTGCAATTATAAGGAAATACACATATGAATTGCTGATCTAGTAGAGTTACAATTAGTATTACAGTTTCAATTTTTGCTAACGAAAATTGAATTTTTTTTTTTTTTTTGTATGTCCAAATTGATGAAAATATGGTTTATTGTTTTTCGTGTAAATGTTGCGTATTATCTATTTTGTTTTCTTTCTGGCATTTGTTTTTTTCACTTGAAACTGACGTAAGAGGTTTTACTATAGTTTCCGGTGGAATTTTGTCAATTTTTTAACGTATCTTTCATAGAGTGGAATTTCTTTTTTTTCTTGTTTGATCCTTTTTTAACTGATGTGTTTTCTAGTTACATTGTTGCAATTCAATTTTCCTGTTATTTTTTTAACTCTGTTTCTGCAGCTGCGTTTCACGAAAAAATATTGTTAGAAATTCATTCCTGAAACCGAATTAAAAACACGTTTTGCGTACGGTTTCCTTTTTTTTGATTTTATTAACGTTTTCGTCATGTTTTTTTTTTTTCTCAGTTTCACCATATGGAGTTTCAATATAGATCAGATTTTATTAACGTTGTGCACTCTCGTCGATATTTATCTCGTCGCGTTTACTTCCTTCCTAGCGATTAATCTTCGTTTTGCTAGAAGTCTAGATGTTCTCTGGATGTACCATGTACGATTTACCTCGGGTTTCGTACATACGAAGCCTTCAAAGCCACCTTTGGATCAATGAGCTTTTAAATTGAATCTTGAACAGACAAAAATGAATGATTCAGTAAAATAATTCTCTTACAAATTTCTACTTCTTTATACTTTCATTTTTTTTTATTATAATTGAATACGTGTTTTGATCGTAATTCAATTACAATTTAATTTTTCAATCTTATAATACACTTTGATGTGTCAACAGTTTTCAATTGTTTTTAAGTATTCTAATAACGATTCAGGAGTGAAAAATCAAAATATTAATATTCGACGATTGACGTGTCCTACTTTCCCCTGTTAAAGTCACAATAATTTTAGCTAGATCTTCTTGGCATTGCGTTTCTTTCACGGCGATACGAATATCCAAGAAACTTGGTCACGCTTCGGACTTCGATCGTGTATTATCTACACACCACCGTGCGTTTTTTTTTTCACTTTAATGTGGAATAAATTGTGTAAATTATTCCCCTTTTTAATCGAATTTTTCTTCTTAGAATTTAATTTTACACGCGCGTGTGCGCACGCATGCATATAAATTTTTGTAGTACCAGCAACTGTGCTTTTCCTCAGTTTCTACTACTACTATGCCGATATATGTACTGCACTATGTGCATATACAGAGTTATAGTCTCATCAATTGCAGAACAGGAACGTCGCAAACTGCTCCCAAGAATTACACGCCGGTGTATGTAGCTGTTAAAATATTTAAAACACCGCGAAGAATGGTCGATCCCATTGTGTTGCGCTCGCGATCAATCGCGAATTCGAGGAATTCGATCGTTTCTCGCGGCGTGCGTGGGAGATGACCACGTGTGCAGCGGAGAACACGTGGCCCAGGTCATCGTTTCAATGGGGAAATTTTAAATATGGCCGCTTGCTCGTGTCTAGCGTGTTCTCGTCTAGCATGATCTATACAGGGTGTGAAAAAGTACAAAAAAACATTACGTACGAAGGACAGATCAATACTGACAACGAGATTTTTTTTCAATCTGTTAATTCCTATTAATCTCTTAGACAACCGAAATATATAATGTTCTGATAAATCATCGGTCGGTAACGAAACGTATCACTGCATTTAGCAAATCTATTTCCAGTCATCTGTCTTTGATCTTTAACGGGTACATAACTCCCGACTGGTTAGTCGAGCTGTTTTGGTGTTGTCAAAATAGTGGTGGAAATCAGATGTTCTAATAATTCAGCTTGTATTGTATATTCGATCAGAATAGTAGTTGAAGGATAGAAGTATAGAAATATGAATTGTTTATAGTACTGAAACCTTGACACACAACGTATGTATTTTATTTATTCTTATGTTTTAGAATCAAGGTTAAATTTCTCTTCAGATCTTTGCAATGACTGTTTCAGAAGTTCTATTTTTGGTAACGAGAAATAGTACTTATTCATTTATGAAGGTTTAGGTTAGGTTTTCCATCTTACAGTAGAGAGGTATAGAATAAACCCAAGATAGAGTACCAGAGTCTCTGATTATCCCAAAATTATTAATTCATGCTTCTCCACTTCTGGACTCGACCTCTGTCATGGAAAAGTAACGATTAAAAAGAAATTAGTCTCTCACTCTCTAATTCGTTCTCTTTCGTTTGTTCATAGTTCATCGGCTCTATGGAGGTTCCTCGACCGACCAGCCGAGTGGAGATCGTGGCGGCGATGCGAAGAATCCGCGTGAGTTCGCATGATCTCTAATTAACCGTGAAGATGGCCTCGCATTGCGGGGCGAGTAGTTGCATCGTTTATTTCAACCTTATTCTGTCCCCAGTACGAGTTCAAGGCCAAAGGGATCAAAAAGAAGAAAGTGACGCTGGAGGTATCGGTGGACGGGCTGAAAGTCACTCTCCGAAAGAAGAAGGTAATTGCTGTGTACTTGTACTCGTTATCTGCCAACTGACCGCACGCCATTACGTATCTGCCATAATTGCTACGGCTATTAGTAGTTTTTTTTCTTTACTCCTTTATTTCTTCTAAATTTTCTTCTTGTTCTCTGTGTATGTGTGTGCGTACTTTCCAACTCTAGAATTTAGACCATTAGAGTACTTAGTTTCTTAGAAAAAGAGGTCATAGATGTTGGATTGATACTGATTTCTAAACAATAAATACAATGTGCAAAGTTGTAGAGTTGTAAATAAGTTGTAGGAATTAAGCGCGTATCAAATGCCAAACACTGAGTTCAGAATATCAAGTAACAAATGTCGTGTATCAGATATTGAATTAAATTGAGTATGAAATAGTTCTTCAAATAGTTCAGAATTTGTTAATTTTTCACTGAAATCAGATCGTGCACTCTATTAACAGATAAACGAAGCTACATTGTCCATCTTTAGTAGATCAGTAAAATTGCTATTAGTGATATTTTAATGTTAACCTAACAATTATTTGAAACAGCAGGTTTTGATTTATTGCACTATGTTTTTTGACTCGTTGCACTAATGTGTAATGTCACACAATATGCGTATATAATATGTATTTCTTGATTATATTTATTTGTATATGTATTATCATTCAACGGGAATAACTTTGTTTCAAGATTACCTAAGAGAGAAATGTTTTTACGTATTATTATGATTTAAATTTAAAGAAGAAATTTATTCTACTGTCTTCTACCACGAATACTTTGTTAACATTCCTAATCTTTCTTTCTCAATGAAGTGTCACATTACATTGTGCTACACTAAGCTCCAATTCCCCTGTTCAAGAATAACCTACGTTTCATGAGTCATTAATGAGTCGTTATTTGTCCTTTGCTTTCACAGAAGAAACAGCAACAGTGGATGGACGAGAATAAGATATACCTAATGCACCATCCCATATATAGGTAAGCTGAATCGTTCTCCCATGGGAACATCCTGCGTACTTTGAGCACAAGAACAAGTTTAACTGTAGCTCATTCAATTACCACAACTTTCAATCAGTTCTTAATTTAATTAAGTACAGACATCTCATAATTAAAAGATTATATTAACCGGTTGCTTGTACTATGTAGTTTCTTGTTAGAATCATTTTCTTACACATTTCATTTTGATGTATTTGCTCACAATTTTTAATTCTATTCTTTTTTCAATTGTTTGGTATAAATAGAATTTTGTTTAATTGTTACAGGATATTCTACGTCTCCCATGATAGCCACGATTTGAAAATCTTTAGTTACATCGCTCGCGATGGAAGCAGTAACACATTTAAGTGTAATGTCTTCAAATCTAGTAAAAAGGTAAGTGACGTATATCAATAATTTATATCCTTTGTGTAGATTATGAGAAACTGTTTTAAATATCTGTAATGTTATCAAACTTCAAGTACTGACTGAGTTAAAAATATGTATTATCTGATTAATTTAATTAGGCAAACAAATTGGTGAGAAATTACTGATATAAAGATTTAGTAACAATCGTGCATCTTGTTTCAAAATTGAGTGATATAAATGGTCTTAAAGTAATCGAGGACGATCTTTTAAAAAAAGTTTCATCGATCGCAAAATTAGAGAAATCCTTCCTAAAAGTTTTCACGTAGAATTTCTCGTTCCGCAGAGCTGCGTAATATCGTCGAACCATAATGTTACATGACGCACGTGCGTATACCTACAATTATTCTTACGATGCGAGTGTGTGTCGTCTGGCACTCTATCAAGTCACGTTATTGTAATTTTATAAATAACCGATCCATCTCCTCTCGAGCTTTTCCACGCTTACATACACTTTCCCTTTCTTTCTTCCTGGTTCTTCTCCAGCATGCTAAAAGTCTTCTGCTCCTCTTCTCATCGCAATTAGAATCAACTGAAATCTCTTCTTCGACCAATCGCCGTAATCGTTTATATTCCTTGGATAGTTATTCTTCGATGAGAATGGCCGTTCGTCGAAAGAGATTTTTGTAGCTTGCAAAAAGTTTGGCGGATTGTAATTCGCAATGTGGAATGTAATTAAAATGTTAGGAATGAACGTAAAGTTGCATACAAGTGTATACTTAAGAAGTCATTTTTGAAAATCTTTTTTTAATACATAACTGGTAGATTGGTAGAGAACTTGGATTTGAAGTTTTTCTGAACCATCGTTGTCGCTCGATTGAACACGGCAAAGTAGTGGGGATAATGTTGCAACACTGCCAAGGGAGAGCAGAATGCACCTTCTGCTTCTCTCGGTCGAGATCATGGGCACCGGGCCTCGGGAGATCGTGTAACGATAAAATCCCTAGTGTAATGCTTTATCCACACTGGTTTCTTTATTACGGCTGTGATAGCTATTACCGGTGTATTATAATAAACGTCAGTTCTGCCTCGTATAATTTTTACGTTACGCTTAGAGTGGACCGCTGGTAGAATATTACCAGGATATCATTAGGTTAGGAAATTACATGTGATAGGGTCGTAATCTGCTACTTTTTGTATATATTTTTCGCATAGAATTTAATAGTTGTATTTGGAATCTTTTCAAGTTTGCATTAGCGGAATTTGTTTTTCATGTTGATGATGCGTTGTTACCATTAGGATAATAAAAACGAACGTCGAGAAACGTTGTGATGGAAGTAGTACATACCTTAAATATCGAGTGGAGGGGAGTGTCCTTGAATGGTTCAAACTCTGGACTTTTGTTCCCATGTTTAAGAACGATATCTCAGGATCAACAGACTAAATCAATACTGTCGCGTCGTCTTTCTTTGTTCTTGTTCGCGAAAGATCCGCAGGCAAAGGAAATAACGATGGTATCCGAGTTTTTCTCGCATGATCTTCGAAAGAGTGTTGCCGAAATGTGTTCGACAAGTAATAAAAGATTGTTGGAAATTACTCGAAGATCAAGATCGAGTTACTTACGAAAGTTAAACTTTCTCTCTCTCTCTCTCTGTCTCTCTCGGTCAATGAACTTCAACGCGCTCATTATCGTTTTCTGTATAGAAAATTACATAAATAAGAATTCGTTTGAAGTCAGAAATAATTTTCTCTCATTATTTTTGTGGATATATTTCTATTTGACTACAATTATTAATTTTCATGATTGTTTGTACAATGAATAAAAATATTGATTTTTCGACTTTTAAGCCTGTATCTTATACAAGGTACTACTAACTAGTAACAAATTGAACTTCTACCAACAAATTGGTACAACGAGCGTACGTTGTGCGTCATACGCACGTTGTCAAGCTGTTAACTTTAACTTATTATAGTGTTGGTTTACAAGAGCCTATCGACAATAAGCTATTTTAAAAATATTTCTCCCATGGCAACGAATTTCTCGCACTATACATACGTTGATCCCCGGCGCTGGGGCGTAAATTATCGTTTGAAAATATTTTGAAAACCAGTGGCGCGTATTTTAAATCAACCCGACGAGAAATTATTATTCCCGGAGGGAATTTCATCAGTAAATTTTTTCGTACATTTTTTTATTAAATCGATGCATCTGTTTGCTCGTTTCATTTAAACCCATTGGTAGGAATTGTAATAAATATTTCATGCGAAAATTTATTGTACCTTTTTCTTTTTTTTTTTTTTTTTTAGAATAATTTGAACTTGAGTAAATTTGTAGCAAATCTTAAATGTGCGGGTGATTTAAATTCAGATTTTCAATGTCTTTTCTATTCTTCATTCCTTGCACACGTATAGTTTTTTTTTTTTTTTTCTACAGTAGGAACTAGATTTTCAAATATCTTGTACGTTTCAGAAATGGCTGGGCTAGAAATAGAGCAGGTTGTGCAGCTGGAAACTAACAGAAATATCTGTGTATCACGGACTAATGTTTAAAGTTCCACGCCATTAAACTCATGAGGGAAAGAGCTCCTTCCACTTTTTCGAATGTCGCCGAAAACTGTTGCTTATCAAACAAATTCGAATAGCTTCCTTGAATTTCCCTCCCGTGAGATTTCTTCGATGAACTCTTCAATATTGTTTGCTCCATTGTTTTCAGAGATGTGTATATAGGCGTCTATGTATAAGAATTCATAAATTATACAAGGCTATGTACATATTTGTTATTGTACACACGAAAGAATAAATAATTAAAAGAGATTTTTTTACTTACATAAAAATATACCAAAGTTAAAAGCATGTACTATGCTAGAAAGAAAGAAAGTGTTTTATTATTTTTTTATTGTAATTTAAAGCCTATTGTATTGATGAATTCAAAGATTTATTATTCGTTAATTATTATATTCAAAAGTATAAGAAATCTTTTTAATTTCAATGGTCGTAGGAAATAGAATTTTTTCACATAAACTTCAGTGTAGCGAAGTTTAAAGATGTTTGACCATTCGTTTAAGTTCAAGGCTCGTCATAAAGCTTTGCTAAAACGTCGATTTGTTGTTCAGGAAATGGGGATCGAGGTTGGGAAAGGTGATTTAAATCGTTGGTAAATCCCCGTTCAAGATGTGTTTTTTTGCGGCCAAAAATAAACAATTGAATGAATCAAACTGCGCGCGTATTTTTGTCTTTGTTGATGAAACTTTTACTCCATATATTCCACGTAAGATTTCCCTTTAAATAAAGAGTTTTGTTCTTCTCGTTCGTAGGTATATGGCTAAAAAGGAAACGAAATGTGAATAAATATAATAATGAAATAATAAAACTCTTCCAATTATTAATATTCATCTTCTGAAGTTTCAATCAATAGTCCTAAACTAATTTACATAAAATCTCTAGAGACGAGGAAAGTAAAAAATAAGGAAAGAAAAGTCACACTATCTTACACCACAACGAATGAAGATCACCCATGAGACAAAGTAATACAGAAGAAAAAAGAAACAGAAGAAAAAAAGAAGAAGAACGCTAACTTCACTTGTTTCCTTCTGAAGAAGAAGAAGAAGAAAAAAAAGAAGAGATAAAGAAAGAAATATTCACTGTACTGTATTCTATAACAACCAATCCTCGAAATCACTTGACGACATCCCTTTTCCCAGCATCTTCTTGGAGTACTCTAACCGACTCTTCTAAACGTGTGTAACGTGTCTCGTTATCATCGCAACACAAAACGAGAAGGGGAGGAGAGACGACCGACTAGAATCGCTCGACCGAATTACTGCTCTGACTGAAGGATGCTCGAAACGGGAACAGCGGAACGCAAACGGGCGAAATTTCAAGCGTTGCTTTCCGCGTTCTGAAAGCTCGTTTGTACCATAGCACTTTAAGCTCTCTCTCTCTCTCTCTCTTTCTCTCTCTCTTTTTCTGTCTTTCCCCCCTCTCTCTATCTTTCTCTGGTTTTGGCTCTCGAAACGGCAGGAAGGAGCAGCAGTAGGAAAAGAAGCAGAGAGCGGCTTGGTCGTCGAAGAAAACGCACATCTTGATCGACTGTGAAGAAAGACAGAAGAAACGATTGCGAAGGACTGAAAGAAACGGCAGGGAAAGGTAAAAGTAATTTGGACAATATAATAAAAGCTGCTTAACTCTTGAAGAATTTTAAAGTATATATATAACAGAATTGCGGTCAGAGGGTTGAAGAAAACCGACGAAGAAAATTGTATAAAAGTCATCAAAAGTGTAAAATAACTGAAGAGGAGAAAATGGACTGATAAAGAGTAACAAGAATCTGACTGATATTAATGAAGTTTGTGAGTTAAAGTGATTAAAGAAAGCAAAGAGAAGAGAGTGATTGGAGAAAATCGACGAGAAGGAATTGCGTTGCCAAGTAGACAGATGAACAAAATTTCCAGATTCTAAAAGAGTAACAAAGTCTGACTGACATAAATGAAAGTGATTGAGAATAGATAAAAGAGGATGTATATGAAGAAAACCAGTGAAGCAGAATAATTGTGTGGAGTTGTTAAAGAGTAAGAAGAAAAGCAAAATAGCTTGCAGAGAATAATAGAAATCCAATTACGTAATACCAATAAAAAGAATTGAAAGGCAAGGTGATTAAGAAAGATAAATAGAGGGAAATGAATGAAGATGATTGTACATAATTGTCGAAAAGTAACCAAGTGTTCAAGTTATTGAAAAAGATTGCAGTGACGTTCATTTTTGGCAAAATTCAGGTAAATTTAAACAAATTCTGAATTTGAAAAACTGTTCCTGTATTGTATATCTTTGTATTTGAATTGATTGGGTTTCTGGTGCAGAAGATGGGATAAACTCTTGGAAATTATTGTTTGAAAAAGAGAAATGTAATAGGGAAAATTGTCAGGTTGGTGTTTGTATTTGTGGAGACTGAAATAGAATTGGAGTTATATGCAGTAACTATATTTCGAGCTATGTGTACTAGAGTATTGCTTTTGTAATTGCAAACAGTCGGGAATTTCTTTGGTGCAATAAAGCTTGTAGTTTGTAGGAAAAAAAAAATGACAATAATTAATTTTGATTAA